ATAAATAACCTCATGTATTGCTACAGGTATTGTAGCCCAGCATTAGCTAAGTTGAGTTTCTGTTTATTTGGATTTCCCTGGAACCCTCCTCACCCCTGACCTTCCATGCTCTGTTCCTTCCTTGATCGCCTTTACTCTTCCTTCTGTCTCTTGGCTTCCTCACTGCATTTTGTCAGTCTCCCTCTATACACCTGTTACTCCTCGGGGAGGGAAGGGAATTTTCTTCTCTCTCTGACCTCAGGACCTCTCCTGAGCACCAGAGCTGCAGTGACTCTCTCCTAGACTTTTCCTCCCGCTGTCCCCTTGGACCTCAACTCCGTAAGATTCACGGGAAGAGTGACCTCTTTCCCTTCCCACCTGCTCCTTGAGCCGGCTTATTTCTCTCTCCAGGGACTCATCCTCCTTCTACCGTCAGCGTCATCCCTCCATAAAATCAAGGGGCCTTCTTCAACTTCTTCCCTCTTCTGTCTTCCAGTTGAGTGCCGGATCCTAGGTTTTTTTACCCAAATGGCAGTCTCTTGCATACAGAGTACCTTGGTTCATCGCTACTGTCACTCTCCCGTCAGTGCTTCATATTCTGTCACTTGGATTCCTGGAATTTCATTTCAAACTCAAGTGCCCAAATCTGAGCTGCTCCTGTCCCACCCGAAACCTGTTCTGCACACTGTGGTGCTCATCTCGGTTCCTGGCAACTCCGTCCTTCTAGCTGATTAGGCGGAGAATCTTTCAGTCATCCTTGAGTCCTTTCTTTCACATCTTACGGGCTGTCTCTCCAGGATACAGCCAACACCCAACTGCTTCTCACCACCTCCACTAAGACATCCTTCGTTCCAGCCCCTGGATTATTCTGAGTGATCTCCCTGCTTCTTTCCTGCCTCCCATCCCAGTTGATTTCCAGTAGGCACCCTGAATGATCTTTTAAAGACACAAATCAGGTTGTGTCCTTTCTCTGCTCCCAAAACTCCATTGTGTCCCCCGTTTCACTTAGAGCGGGGGTTTCCACTCGGGTGATTCCCCTTCTCCAAGGAACATCAGCAGTGTCAGGACACATTTTTGGTGGTCGTAATGGAGGGAGTGTGTCATCGGCATCTAATGGGTAGGGGCCAGGGATGCTGCTAACCATCGTACAATGTATGGGACAGCCCCAAAACAGAGTTATCTGGTCAAATGTCAACAATGTCAAGGGTGAGAAATGCTGAATTAGAGACAGAACCTTTACAGTGGCCTAGAAATCTACTTGATCTGGCATTCATGATCTCTCCACCTTGTCTCCTACTACCGTCCTGCTAGTCCACTCTGCTCCTGCCGTGTTGGGCTCCTTACTATCCCTTGCATGTGCCAGCCATGCTCCCGCCTCAGGATCTCTGCACAGGCAATTCTGTCTTCCTGGAATACCCTTCCCCCGATAGCCCCAGAACGAATTCCTTCATTTCCTTCAACTTTTTGCTCAAACTTCACCTTCTCAGTAAGGCCTCCTTCAAGCGATTTATTTCAAAAACAACACTCCTTTCCCAGTGGCACTCCAGAGTCAGCTCATCCTGCTCTACTTTTCACTGAATTTATTTTAATTGTCCGTGCAACTGACTTATGTGTTACGTTGCTGTTTATTATCTGTCTCCCCGACTAGAATGTAATTTCCACCAGGATAGGGACTTTGTTTTATTTCCTCGGTGATCCGAGACCAGTGTCTGGCATTTGGTAGCTGCTTGATTGACGTCCTGATGAATGAAAGGATGAAAGAGTGATGGATCGAATGAAGGATGGTTGGAGGAATCTCCTTGTCACGGACCTTCCCGCGTCCGTTCTGCCCACTCCCATCCATCCTGCGCTGTGCGCATGGAGTCCTCAGAAACCATCCTGTATATGTGGAATAATACCTGAGGGTCTTCCAGCCTCCTGGAAATTCATATTCTTCAAGTTAATCTCCAGTCCCATCCAGCTTCACCTTCAGCTGCGTCACCTGGGCATCTGCTTGGCCAGCACCTTAACAAATATTCATAACAGACTTGGGATAATGGGAAATTCAGATACACTTGGCTTTGTAACAAAACGGGATTTTTTGGTCTAAAAACACAATAAAATAATCCTCAGAGACTATGTTCACTGCAGTGAGGTCAGCAGCATTCTTAGAAGACAGAGAAATGGTTCAGGTTTCTAGACCCTGCACACAGCCCACTACTTGGTGGGCTTTGTGAAAGAAGATGACCAAGAGCTGAGGGTACCAGCAGGCTCGCTGGAACTTTGTGTACTCCTTACCCCTAGAGAGCGAGTCCAGAAGTGGGCAGGAGATGCTTCCTCTGGGCCGGGTGTCATCAGCCACCAGCCTCAGTGTCGTGCACAGACAGCATGACTACAGAAAGCAGGGCAGTCGCCCAAGGAATGAGCACAGCCCTGGCCATGCCACGGTACTTTCCTGATGGCTCTCTGTGGAGCTAGACCAAGGATCATTCACCCAGACTTCGCTGGGCACCACGCTCACATGCTTCAGATCCCCACACAGCTTCTTATGCAGGGCCAAGTGAGTACCCACTTGTCTGTACAACTCCCCTGGCAGTCAGACACGCACTTGGCTGTGTCTTATCACAACTTTCCCTTTGAAGGACAACCAGCATGTCCCTTCTTTTGAGTATATGTTGTACTTATCATTGGGTTCCTGGGAATTACTAAGTCTCCTTTTCCATTTAGATTGTTAAGCAAGAAAGGAGTCCTTTTCGATATGTTTGCCAACCTCTCTCTGACACTGGGATTGATTATTGAATAAGCCCAAGGTTCTACCCATTTCAACCTCAGTTGTCCTCTCCAGCCTTGACTACTAAACACTCCTGCCTCCCCAAATGTCCTCATCATCCCTGACATTACCCCTATCTCTCTAGCTTTGCCTCTCCTGTTCAAATTGTCTCTCTCCTGTGACGCATGGTCCAGATGCTGCCCCCTGCTAAAATTTAGAGCCTCTGCCCTCTGTGTTCTCATTGAATTAAGTCAGAGCTGCCATCACATCTGGCTTTGATTAGGAAGTATTCGTTTAATTATACTAAGTGAGATAAGACAGGCACAGAGGGAAAATGTTGTATGACTCCACTTACATGAATTATCTGGAATAGGCAAATACATAGAGGCAGAAAGTAGACCAGGGGGTGCTGGGGGGGGGGGTGGGGAGGCTTGGGGAGTTATTGTTTAACAGGGATACAGTTTATGCCGGAATGATGAAAGCTTGGGGTATAGATACTGGTGATGGTTACACAACGTTGTGAATGTGATATTTCATGCCACTGAATTGTACACTTAAAAAAGGTTAAAATGGAAAACATTATGTACATTTTTCCATAATACAAAAAGGTAACTAAAAAAAACAGAAAAGTTACATGTTTAATAGTTTTTTATAGGTTGTAGGTTTGTGGGAATGGGGAGAAAACATGACTTTTTCGTCTTCACCCAGCCCGGTGCTTTGCATGAGATAATCACTCATTATTGCTTCAAGTCAGGAACGGAAATCAATGAAAAGAAGCACAGAATTCAGGCAAGATTTTCCCATACCTCTTAGCAATTTTTAAAATTTTATTTTATTGTTGGAGTGCCCGGGTGGCTCAGTCAGGTAAGCGTCCAACTTTGGCTCAGGTCATGATCTCACGGTTCATGAGTCCATGCCCCACTTTGGGCTCTGTGCTGACAGCTCAGAGCCTGGATCCTGCTTTGGATTCTGTGTCTCCCTCTCTCTCTGTCCCTCCCCTGCTCGTTCTCTCTCTCCCTCTCTCCCTGTCTCTCTATATATCAAAAATAAGTAAACATTGAAGAAAAAAGAAAAAAATGTTACCGTCAAATTGATTTTATCAGAAAGAACCTTCTGTAGTTGGAATTGTTTAATGGCATTGTCTCAAAAAGAAAACAAAAAACATGAAATTAAAAATTGTCCCAAACTGCTTTCTATTTTCTTAGTGTTTGCATTTATAGCATCAGTAGCATTTTAGCAAACTCGATTTGAATAGTAAGAACTTTCATTTATACAACACTTACCAGCTTTTCTGAGAGCTTTTTCAGCCCTTAGACCATTTGAAGTCACAGAAAGAGTCAACGTCATGTATAGCATTACTGAACAAATGTTTCTCCTTCTTCTCTGGTTCTAGATTCTTTCTTGCATAAGATGAAGTGTGTACATTAAGCCTTATTCTTACATATTTCAGTTCATATAATCCTTTTACTCTGCTGATCTGCAATTATAAATTATACAGTTTCGTGCTGCACATAGTCTTACAAGTTAGAAAAAAGCATAAAGGTCTTGATATGACTCTCATCCAAGATTAGGGTGGAGATATCAAGAGAGAGGTGAAATGTTTACATGAAGGGATAGGCAGGAACTGAGAAAATATCAGGTTACTGGGCTTTTTTGCCATGTTTTTAATTTTGGAAAATTGATTGTTTTCATATTCTGTCCATAAACAACACCAGAGGGTATTTTCTACAGATGATTTTTGTGGAGAAGAAACTATAAATTTGGAGATATTTTCCTATGGAAAACAATCATGGATAAGTTTCTAAGATGTTGACCATTTGCTTCAAAGTAATACAGAGAGGGGAAGTAGAAGGGAGGGTAGAAATAAAACGTGCTTGGCCACCAGCAGATGACTGTTGGAATAAAGTATTGGGTATAGAGGTGGTTTTATTATAGTATTTCCACTGTTTGTACGAATTTGAAGTTTGCCAAAAGAAAAAATTAAGGACAAAAAAGAAATAGATTCTGAAAGGAGGTAGCCGATGGTCTATTATTTCATACACCTGATGAGTTAATTCAGTGAATGGAGGGATTTGAAAATGAGGTACTTTTATTTGGCACAAGGCACTATCAAGATAATATCTTGAGAAGCAGCCTGTGTGGCTCTGTCAGTTGAGCATCCGACTCCTAATTTTGGCTCAGGTCATGATCCCAGGGTCATGGGATCAAGCCCCGTGTTGGGCTCTGTGCTGAGCACGGTACTTGGGATTTTTTTTCTCTCTCTCTCTGCCCCTCCCCTGCTCGTGTGTACGTGCATGCATGCTCTCTCTCTCTTGAATAAATAAACATTAAAAAAACCTGATAATATCTTGAAGGTTTATTACCAATCTATATTTGAAATCTGCATAGCTTAAAGAAGGTACATATTGACATATCGCCCCAAAATGTGTGTGTGTATGTATACGCGCACACACACATAAAACTAAACAAAAGTGAGTTTATGTTGGTTTGAGAATTTCTGATACCTGTTGGCAATGCAAACATACTTTAGTTGTCGCTGATCTAAAGACCCCAGGTAAGTAGTTAGGCCTGCAGGCGAGGAGGCTCCATGGGATTCAGAACTTTCTACCAGTCCCCTTTAATGCAGCGACCATGCATCTTTGCTTCCTGTGTTCAGTGTGTTCACTGGCAAAGTGATGTATACAACAGGGTACATGGCACCAGGTTTCAAGGCTGGCTGCTTGCCACAGGTCACTTTACAGTACTTGGCCAGACACATGGCTCGTTGATGGTCATGAAGGGTTCTGCCTGGAGCCCTCACTGGTTCCTTTCAGGTAGTAACAGGAAGTAACTCTCCTTCCTGTTTTTACTGGACACACTTCAGGTGTGATTTTTTTTTCTCTCCTTTCTCTTAGATGTAGACCTCTCCTCTAGCTCAGATCTAGCAAGGTTAAGGGCAGCAGCACAGGGGAGAAGAGCTAGTTCACTGCCAGTTAAAACCAGTGAAGTACACGAAGAGAGGAAAGGGTGAAATGAGACAATTGCCTCTTTGCTCAGCATTGCTAGGGATCATTATTTCTCTTTTTATGCCTTTGGGCACCTCTCCTTCCCCCACCATTGCCAGACAATTGAGAGGCCTCTAATAGGCTGAAGGCAGAATCTGAGGAGTCATGGTTTCCCTTCCTGTATGATGTGCATTTCAAGAGGCCCTGAGCAGGAGAAATTAATGGCACACCTGGAAGGTAGAGTTCGTGCCTTGTTCAGCTTTGCATCCCGGCACCCAACATGGTGCCTGGAACAAAGGAAATGACGATAAATGTTGAAATACAAACGTTTACTGGCAGAACTTCCATCCCTGTGAGACCAGCTTAGACTCATATTTAGCTATGGTCCTCCTTCAGATCGTACAGAACTTTGGGGGTCCTTTAGATCTTACAGGTAGGGATTGGGGCCCTACCCTTAAATGTCAAGCATTCCAAAGTGTTTCAGAAGTATAAATAACCCCACAAATGGGTGACGGTGGCATCTAGGAAAAGGAAAAACCCTTCATACTGTCTTAGAACATTCTGGCATCACTTCACAGTTTGTGGTTCTTGAAATTAGTTAAGATCAACATCTTCTCTATCGCCAAGGAAGTGTGCCCAGGTCACTGAGTGGCCATCAGGTGCCAGACAGTAAGAGATACAGCTACGGGAGAGACAGACATGGTCCCTACCACCATGGGGCTCGGCTGCCAGGAAGGTGGCGTCATAAAGTACATTCCTGATGAGGTGTTCAACTGCAAGGAGCACCATGAGGGAGACGAGGGTGCTGCGCTCACCTGGTGAGTGCCGGTCAGGGGAGGCTTCTAGGAAGTGATGCTGGAGTGGAACACCTGGAGGGGGGTGGGGGGGAAGAACCAGGTGGGGATGGAGGGAGAGTGGCCCAGAGAAGGAGGAGCATCTGTACAAGCCCTGAGGCCAGAGGGAGCATAGGGAGTGGGAAGAACCGGAGTCCTTGTGGCTGGTGTGCAGGCAGAAGTGGGAAGGAGACTTGACAGCAAAGGATCTTTCCTGCTGGAGTGGCAGGTAATTTTCAGGAAGAGGAGTGGATTAACTCTTGACTCATTCCCCCTCC